TCGGCTACTTTTTCCGGATTAGCGGAGGCAAGTTTTTTAATTATGTTGGCAATATGAGCCTCATCTGCGAAGGCGGTGGTTAAGGCTTCAAATTCCTCGCGGGTGAGGCCTACTTCTTGTAAATCTTGGTCGGTTATTGCGTCCGTAGAGGCTTGACGGGTTTCTGGGGTTTCATTTTCACTGGGAGGTTTTTGCTCGGGGGTTAAGGCTTCCATTAGTTCCAAGAGGTCGGGGCCGAGGCGAACGAGGGTGCCTTTTAGTTTGCCTACTAATTCTGCCACCGAAGTAATTGGGGTTCCATCTAATAAAGGAGTATCACCGCCACCTTCTATTTTTAACCAATCTTTTTTTATTTGGTGAGGATTTAAATCTGAAAAAATCAGATAATAAGAAAAACCATTTCCAGCAGGATTTTTTTTGCTACCTCCTAATTCCCTAGTATTATCATTAGTTATCACCATCAACATTTTTTTTGGTCCACTGCCTCAACTAACATCTTTTTTCAAACGCTTTCAACTACCCATCAACTTCTTTTCTTTTAATACGCCGATAAAACTATCTTTAAAGTCATAAACAGCCTCCATATTGCGAACTCAATGCGTAATTATATTGCCCGTTTTGTTTATAACCAATTGGATGATAGTTCCCCAGAGGAAAAAAATAAACAAAAAACTCAAATGAAACGAAGAATTGCCAAAAAGTTGAACAAATCTAATGAAAGCGAACTTAAAGAGGAGGAATTAAACGAGAGTCTCTACAAAATAGAAATAGGAGAAATGATTTTGGATAGTAAATATTATAAGTCTGACTTGAGCGAGATTACCAGCCAACCGGAACAGAATGAAGAACCCAAATGATATCAGTGGGGTAGCACTGCGGGCAAAGTCCTGTATATTGGTGGCCCCTTAACATTGGTAGGTGGTTTAGTGGCAATTTTTTGGAAGAATATAAAAAGTTGGTGGAATGGTCCAGCCGAAGAAGAGGGGGAAAGTTCAGCGTCTGATACTACCGAAGAAAATGAAGAAGATGACAAAGAATAAAAAGACTAAAATAAGCGAATGGGATGAAAAATGCCCCAAATGTGGTATAATCACTTATTTTGCCAATAAAAAACAACGCGATGAGATGTGGGTGGGAGTTTGTGTAGCCTGTGCTTTAACTAGCAATAATTTTAAATTACCCTCCAACTTACCTAAATGAAAGCAAAATTTAATTTTGGTTAGCATGGTTTAAAAAGGGAAGGTAAAAAAATAGTAAAAGTTCATGAGTAAAACCTGAACTCTCACCCCATCCCACTCCCTCACCTTAGTCCCGCCTAACCAGCGGGGTGAATGCGTAATATGCCATTTAGAAAAAGATATCTGGCTAATTTCAGAAATACAAAGTATTGAAAATACGAGTATTGTCGGAGACCAAACTCCCCTTGAGTATAGAAAATTATGTTGAAGTTGCTCCTTGGATAGTATTCGAAAATTAGAAACGGGAGATTATCAAGTAAAAAACAAAGAGCAGATAATTAAAGAATTACGAGAGGCCTTGACGACCAATTCAGAATCTCAATTATTAGAATGTT